GCTTAATTTGGCTCGTTTAATTATGTTGTATACGCGAAAATTTGAATTCACTGATCCAGAAAAAGCCCTTATGTATTATTACATGCTTTCTGACATCCCAATTACTACTGAAAAGTCACCTGAAGAAGATTCTAATGCAACTATTCCAAGTGGTCTATACAATACGTCTCTCGAACATTTGACTGCTAAAGGTCAAAATTTGTTCGTCCAATGTGTTTGTGAATTGGCTTTAGCAAACAAGGAGGTAGGTTTTTCGAAACTGTTTTTTTAAAAATAGTCCTATTGCTAAATAATATACATAGTTTACAGGGATCTGTATCGTGCAATACTCTCTAGTATAAACTAATAGTTGGATCACGATTCCTAACCTATTAAGATCCAAGATTCTAAATGTATTTTGACAAATTGCTTAGTGAAAAAAGATACATGTTCATTCCTCGAACTTATTCGATAGCTTATCAACGGCTTAGTGGTCTAAGCACTAAAATTTTAATCAAACTTTTACTCCGCTCCACATTGGTCTGAGCAGGCGGGTAATATTACCATCTTTTTCACACCAGTTGTGATTCACAGACGAGTTCATGAATGTGTACCTAGTTACCACGTTTCATTACTTAATTGTCTGGTCATAATCTATCTTGTCTAAACTATAAGTATTAGTATATTCGACTGTTGATCTGTTTCTTCTATACATGTAATGCAAAATGGAAATATTCTTCTACTACCTTTGGAATGATTAACGAGTTCCTGTAGTCAATTTATTTAGTCGGTTGTATGTTACACTTATGAAATAAATCCATCTGCTTGAACTCACTTTTCTATTGCTAAAAATTATCTCAGGTTGTTAAGTGACGACGCTGTGTATTAAGTTATATCGCCAATACATGTTGCAAGTAGAAATCTCAGGTATGGTTCTCTAGGTGTGAGGAAAAACATTTATTCAATTTCCACAATTGGCTATCATATAGACGTATGCTGTTACAGTTTTTCACTTTCAAAATAACATTCCGTTACATAGAGATTTGTTTTTTTTAAATAATAAAAATGAGTGTACATTTTTATCAGTTATGCTCATTGTTATTCTGTTCGCTGATACAATGATTTTCGTCCATACGTTACTATCATTATAAAACTTATCTACAGTTTTTTTACTTCTTAATTAAGCTTCTTTTTACCAATCGGCATTGCATATAGTCCAGCACATTGTATTCCAACAATTGTTCACTGTGTCCTGAACTGTCTTATTTTATTGTAAACTTATCATGCTTACTGTCTTTGTCAGCTTTAAATTCACAACGAACACCGTTATGTATTGTTACTAATATTTTTCTTTTTTAAAAAGTTAAATCGAATTTCTTGAAGTGTACTAAAATTATACACGCAGATTGTGACTTCAAAAATCTAAAACTTAGTTGGAAGGTACTCAACACTTTTTTTACACCGAGATAATGTACTGTTTCAGATTTCCAATTTCTATGGATAATCATGAATTCATTCTATCTAAAATCATATTAGTTCGTGCTGCAGTTTATATACTAAATTGAGTGCTTTTTGAAAATCCACTTAACGATATTCACCTGTATTACACGGTCGTAACCAGTGTACTTTCATTTTACTGTTTACAGTTAGATTTACTCTTGGGATGTGTTGGTGAAAACGATATTCGCAAAGTAAGTTATAATTTACTTGAGATCCTCATTGTGTGTATGTTTTGTAGAACCTGTCAGTTTTTGATGGCTAACCTATTGAGACTAGATCACGTTGTAGATAACTAACCTCTTTTTTTGATATATTCTATTGGGGTGATAGTATTCTGGCTGTAACAAGCTGTAATACTGTTGGGAAATGCAATGTCTTCAAAAAGAGATAAGAATCAGTTAGGAAAATTAAAATTTCGAGTCGTCATCTTGAATTCGCGTAGCGCTCCGAAACTCACATTCTCATAAATGCACACATGTTCCTCGCCATGCCATCAGTCGTATTTACCATAAGACATGCTTCTTATTGTCTTCACCTGTCGACGTGTGGGCCGAATAGTTAATGAGGACGTAGTGCGAGTTCGGTTTCGACCTATTTCGCAGCACTGAGAACGCTTTTTTAAATTGTGTGGTCGAGCCATTATGTATCATTTACCAGTTGTGTTGAATAACGGGAACAAACGTGTTTCCTGACATGTCCAAGCACATTTGTCTAACTTAAGAAAGTTGTAATTTATATCATAGATGTATAATGCACATAAAAAGTAAATTTAGTACATTTAACTGTTCATCAGGGATGTTAAAATATTCGACGTCAAGTCGAATGTTTAAAATACAATTGAGAGATTGGTGAGTATTTTTGTTTCGTTTATATTATAATACCTAATCCTATATCATCTTCCAAAGATCTACGCGTCCCAATATCGATGGTATAGTTACTGGGTTCTGCAGGTGCCTGAGTATAGTCCACCTTCTAGATAATTTCAGATTTCATCTTACAACTGATATTTCGTTTAATTAATATGCCTTTCTTACATCAACATATAAATGCTTACAAATATCGGTTCTTTTAGCCTGGTGCTATCGACCGCTTTTGCAGGTCTGTAGAATCCCGTCGAGAGTTGATCCGTACTGTTGCTGATGTTTTTGAGTCCACTGGTCAAGTAGTTGAAGCTATTCATTTATATTTACTAGCTTCTTCCTGTGGAGATCCTAAACCTGACGTTTTAGTTTCTGTTACTTTGATAAATACTGTACTATCAAGTGTCATAGTAACATCTGATCTTGGGTCAACACCAATTACACAATCCCGATCCGGAGGACAATTGGATCGTAGTTCACTTCTGAGACTTGCGACAGAGGTAAGACAGAATTCCATCAAACATTATTTTCTGCATTTTTGTATGTTTGCTCTCACTATCGTATTTCGTACATGTTGTGATAATTATTTTACTACAATCTGTCCACCATGATGGACCTTAAATGTTCATCGTGCTTGAAAGCTTGAGGATGAAGAAATACATTAATTGTTCTTAATAATTATTGTCGATTAGTATACATTATCGTCACAAACTCCTCTTTGGCGCGCATCCAAACTTAATATTCAAGAGTAATTATATGTTCGTCTTCAACAATTAGTATTTTCGATAATTTCAGCATCGCGATATACCTAGTGTATGAACATCAAGATCTCGACAGGGGAAAACAGTCATTATTACAGTTTGTCTGGGAAAAATGTTATCTTTATAGTTAAATAAGTACAAGTTAAACGAATATAAAATCGGTAAACAAAGTGTAATGAATGTTTTCATAATGAAGCCTCATAAGAGCTCGGAAATATATTCTACTTATTTAACAAGTGTTAATGAATGCATCCAAAGTTAATAGTTTGTATTACTCTGGACATGTGCGCAGTGTTCAAGATACCAGATTGCTTAAAATATACATATATTTTCACAAATTATTTTCCTTTTTGACTGAATCATACTAAAGTAGTGATCATGTTCAAAAAGTGTCCCTATGCTCCTGTGAATAGTTTTTATAAAATATAGGAATGTAATAGGGAGGAAAATTTTTCGATTTAATGTTCAAGTTAAAGTAAGTGTATCAATTCATATTTACGACCTAAACAGTTTAATTATTTCAACTGTCTTCTTGCTAAACAGATTGCTCATAAAGTCCGCCGACTAGGCTTATCATCAGACGATAGTAATCATCTCATCCAAAATGACATGGAAACAAGTGTGACTGGATCTACCTCGGCTATAAAAATATTATTTTACCTCCTCGATTTGGCCGCGTTCTTCGACTTAGTTGATGCAGAAAGATGGCAAGCAGCTATTGACCACATAGATCAGCTGGGTTTATTCCCAATTAATTCGCAAGCTTCCAATGTAGAATTTTGTGCGATGCTGTTCTCGCAACTCCCAGATCTTGTACGTCGCCCTCTGCCGTGGGCATTATATGCTTTAATGCGTTGCTTATCAGCGAAGTGTGGTCGAGTTACATCTGTCACAAGGTCAGTTCCGTGATAAATCAAATAGATGTTGAAACTACTTTTTATTAACTCGATAAAAATGTTTAATGTTCGTACCCGCTTGGCTTATTGAAACATTTTTAGTAATGGAACGCGAGCGGACAGCACTTCAAAAATGGCTACTTCTGAAATTCGCTCCAGAGCAAAGGCCTTGATAGCATATGTTGGTCGTATTCCGCACAGACTACCGAGTGAAATTTATGCTGGACTTACTAGGATGGATATGGAGATAATATAATCTGCTACTGAAATGCTTTCGAACAATCAACTATTAGTGTTGTGTACATTATCAATACTTTCTGTGTACCTTTTCTACAATAAATTAACGAATAAGGTTGCTATCGTTGATTTTAGACTATCTCTACTGTTACTGTAATGATTTCACCACCGAATCCACATTCTGAATGATGATCGCAGTAAATTGGGATACCATCACAATACAAACTTTCAGCATAACCAAAATTGTATTATTACATCGGAAACGTAAAAAAAATTTACAAAATATAGATTATCATTACAATTTTATTACAAATCAATAGTACAAGTTTCATATTAACACCTGTATCACACCTGCCGTTGCATTTTTTATTAAATACATGCAAAAGTTAGAAAACAGGAAAATTGTATACTTGATGAGATTACTGGGCAATAACAACATACGGACATAGACTTGGGGAAAAATAACATTAAAGAGCTTGCAAAGGAATCAGTTTGTAAGTTTATTTACAAAAGACTTAAATAAAAATTAATAATTTCCATATTTAAACCGCAAGCTAGTTGTCGAGCATCCGACATAACCACTTTCATGTAGGACAGGACGATAAAATATGCGGTGCTAACACTTGTCTTAGACTTGACCACTATGATAGGGAAATTAACTATAAAGCAACAAGTGGATAAAAATCCAAAATAGCAACTTGAATAAAGGAACCCTCTGAAAATATACAATTACAGATATTATTGACGGAAGCAATACTTTTGAGTTGTTAGCGGCGCGCTGGAATAACTGCAGTAGTATTAATGGGAGGAGCAGATTGCGAAAAAGCATTGTCCACATAATTCTTATGGTGAGATACATTGCTGAAATTCTGAGGATGCGTTACAGGTCGAGAACGCATGCTACTGTTGACAGATGGCTTAAAAATAGCAGGGTCTGGTTTTAGATGAGCTGCCTGTTCCGGACGAGAAATACCCGTTGCAGGTATTAGCTGAACTCGGCGACGATAGAATGCTCCCTTAGACTCCATGTATCGCCTAACATAAGTGGTAACTCTTGACCGCACTGTCGAAGGAAGTTCAGGAGTAAGAACAGTTGAAAATAAAGAAGTGTTCGCTGCCTGGGCTTGATGAAACTTCTGTATTTCTTTTAGGATTACGGCCTGAGCAAGCTGAAAAAATAGGAATGACTTAGTAGGTTCAGCAGTAATTTCATAATGTTAAAACATATCGCACAATGAATTACTGAAATCAATAGTGTTTTTTATTTTAACACATAGATATTGGTACAAGAGGGCACCAAATACATATGCGCCACACAAATCTTATTCGATATGTGTGAGGGCTGTGATACTGCCCGGGTGCCCAAACCGAAGCAGGTGGTTTTCTTAGGGGGCCACTCCCCGAGCCTTTGACCTAGAGGTCTGACCCACAAGGCAGTGGAGCATCGTAAGGAGATGCAGTCCCATGGTAGCCGGTGACCAACGATTGGTTCATACGCCATTTGTTCCTGCAGGATACTGGAGCCCATGTGCACCATCAGTTTGGGATCCGGTTAAAGCGCCGGACATTCGCTTTTCGTCCTCTCATTTTTGTAAGTAACACCCCCGCCACGAGAAGGCAGTGAGTAGGACTTCTCTGGCAGAGGCTATATACGCGTGGCCATGTGAGAGCATTTCGAGAGGGAGAGCGGACTTTCCCCACTCTCGGCCGTACCAGGGCATTTGGGGGTTTATTTTGATTCAAGACTCTACATGATTATTCCAACAATGGATAATCTAAAAAAAACTGGTTCCTTAACGACTGATCCCTTAAAAGCATTTGTATAAAACTGAATTCTTATAAAGAGCAATCGTATACAGCAAAAGTGAATGAACTACCTTTTTTGTTAAGTAGTATAAATCTTCATCGTTAACAATACGACCAAGTTTACATCGAGCATCACGAAAGCCACGTAACGTATTGTGGACCAAAGTGAATAACTGAAATAAAAATATTGTAGTTTGTTCATCTAGCCAGTCGCAATATTTTTAAAAAACGGATTATGCTATTTATCAAAATAAGTCGCCCGATTCTATATGTAGGTGGTAAACAACAGATTATTTAGCCGATAATTCCAAGAATCCTCATGAATTTTATAAGACGTAAGTGTAGTTTACGTTCAAGTTCGCATGACAAGCTGTGGTCCATAGTAATCTAGGTGTTTGGATAAAATTATCATACATATTCAACAGTTCTTGAATCTAGCTTGTAATGATGAGGCTATCTTACACACGTTATATCAGTGAATTATTTTCATACATGCAATACGGTCTTCATGGCCTGGCCTTCCTTAAAATGTTACTCCAAGTGGATAAAACACCTTATTCTAATTACTCGCACGTCTCTGATTTAACAGTAGGAGTGTTTAATTTACAAAAAAGTAACACATGAGAAAAATAAAAGGACTAACTTCCATGGCAAAGCCTTGTTCAGTTACATCCTGAGGAGCATCTGGTCTGCCTGCCAATTCATGCAGAAGATCAATGCACTGACGTTCCAATATTCGTTGACGCACGCGATTATACATCTGTAACATAAGTTCGGTTCGGAAATTATTGGCTTTTGTACAGCAGAACAAACGGTTCTAAAGAATTCCTCTTGTGCATAAGAGTGAGTTTTGGAACTATAGACAAAATTTTTAACACAGAACAAGCTTCAGTTTATCGTTTGACTTTTCAACACCGTTTAAATAAGGGCAAGAGGAAAAAGAACTTGGATGTAAATTAATAACAATTCAAGTTGAGGTCAAGAGACATCAGAAGCAACATTCGAAGTCGTATGGTCTTGGAGACGCTCCAAGGCGAGAAAATAAACTTGTTTACCAAGTTGTACTTGAAGAATGATGGATGAAGTAGAACAGACTTAATTCAGTACTACGAACTCCATTGAATAGTAATTGTGGAATGAATAAAACTATACACAGTAACATAATCACAAGAATATAATAGCATGGCTTACAGCTTCAATTTCTTCGTGTGTGACAGCGAATCGCGACGCACATCCCCAATTGTAAGGAGCTTCCGGGTCATCCTCTCCGGTTTCACCAAGAAGAGTATCCGTAGGATCGGCGTCCCATGGATATACAGGTGGATCCCACCTAGTTTGACGAGTTCGGACATGGTAATAATAGTAAGCATATGTGCCAGAACTATCCCCTAGATCTTGCCCTTCTGTCGAACGCCTAGTATTTGGTGCTCTTTGCCACCCTGGAGGCAGGGGACTTGTACCATCTTTTGATAGGTGCAGATGCAAAGCAGGTAATGGTTGTCTTTCAGTTGGTTGTGCTCGCCGACGTTGCCTTAGCTGTGCGCAACGTTCCTGGAGTTATCCAAAAAACAGAATGCCTTCGAACATAATATGCAGTAAAAACTTCAAGTAAAACTTGGGATAACTATAAATATTTTACTCAATAGTGTAATATTCATTTGGCTGACTGTAAACAGAATATTTTGATGCAGTAATACATACAATTTTCAAAATTCAAGATTTATCGGAAACATTCTTGAAACATTTTATTAAAAAATATCTCCCAAAGACTTGGCATGGTTTATACAATTAATTTTTTATGCTGCTGGCCTTAAATATGACAAGTTCAGAGCATTCTCTCAATCATCTCTTTACTCCGTGTCTTGATAACAAATTAACTGACTGATTAAATATCAGTAATTCGAACATATGGTTAAGGTTTTCTAGTGTTGGAATGTTTTCGTGCAACAACGCTCTGGTGATGGTTTAAATTTTAGGTTAAGCTAACGCTAGAATGTTTTTAGAGAAATCGGTAACAAGCCGATTGGAAATCCTCTTGGTTTTTGCTGGTAATGCTCAAATGAACATGTGTTGCCACAAAGGTCATGCCAGTTTTGATTATATTCGGATTCATAACTTGTGACCATTGAAAAATAACTAAGGTCTTAAAAAATGGAGGTATTCTATGGAGTCTAAACAAAAGCAAGGGCTTCTAGAAATCACCTACCTTCGTAGCCTTACTCAGTTCCATTCCGGCAGAAACAGCACTCAGCGATGATGTAGCAGCCGAAGATGTACGTCTTTTTTAAGGCAAACAAAAGAAGTACTGAATATCAAGAACAATTAGATAAAAAAGGAAAGCTTCAGTTGAATACCTAATAGTAGATTTAAGCATTTACACAATAGCATTTCTGAATATCTTTATGAAAATTCAGATAGATAAAATAATTACATAAAGACCAACAGAAATACTCTTCAGCTTTCGAGAAAAAACTCGTCAACAATCTCAATGTACTTACGAGAAGAACAGGTACGTTTGACAGTTAAACTTGCTGGTAAAACCGGAATTAGTTTTGGTTAAGATAATCAGTTAGTCATTTGGTAGGGAAATATCTACTTCATTGATAATATGACACCACTTAGATGCCTTAGAGTTTAAGATAAATCATGACTCATCAATAAGTTACTTACGATATTATGAAACCACAAATTAACAGTACGTAATCTCAAATTGTGGTTTACGCCAAAGCATACAGGTCACTCTAAGTTTTAAGATATAGAGAACGTTCAGATCATTATAGTAGGGACGGACAAGTCTACTCTAGCATAATGCTAGCATTAGATAATACTAGTTACTGCATAATTTTTACGATAGTGAAAAAAATTATCTATTAGGTTTCAAAAGTACTATTATTAAAATATGTATTACTTGGTGGACATTGTTGATAAATTTTGACGTATAGTGGAAACGTGTTTATATGGTCTCAGAATATTTTATTTAGTAAAAAGTCATCAAATTTTAAGTAAACAACTCAGTTCGAAGATATCGCAAACAAACTGCACATTAAAAACCATAAACTACCTCAACTAATTTGAATCAGTAGTTTAACACGCCAGCACCATAAATTTGGTGTTTCGTTAGTACTCTGAGTCAGTTAGCTTTTGGACACTTTAAAATAAAACTCGATGGGAAAATGAGTCAACACTTTTGATGAAAAGATCCTGCTCACAATTCTTATAATATAAGGAATTACACATATAATTGGAATCAACTAAGCCATGTAAATCACCACGCACGACCATTAAAATTACTACTTTGTGGTAAAACAATCTTGTGAGATTTTATTTTCCGGAAAGCACTTTTTTCCAGAGTATTTGTGGTTGTGAAATTTATTGTTTGCTAATAAAGCTCATTTATTTATTGGAATATCAAGTTGGTAATTTCATCAGCCTTAGAAATAAAAAACAAATTGGTGATATACCTTTGTGCGACATTGGAATCTAGCTGGTTGAAGATATGAGACGAAGAGAGAGGTCCAGCAAAAGCACATGATATCGTACTACCGGGGTCAACTATTTTGGGTGAAGAAATTGGAGTTCTGCTGAACCTAGATATAAGATCGATGGGCTCACATTCAGAGTCGTCTATCAGTAGATCTACTCCGGGTATATAAATACCAGAGCTATCAACAGCTTCTTGAATAAAACAACTGTCCCTGTTAACATCACGGGAACGTTGTGCAGCGGAACCAATAAAAACGCTATTCCGTTTTGAAACTAGAAATAACAAAAAGTAGCGAACACACTTTTTAGTTGTTATTTCAATTTATAAATAGCATTTCATTGACTGAAATACCTGAACTATGAGCAGTATACAAGAACTCGAAAACATTGAAACCCTAAAAATGCGAACATAAACTATTTATTGGCGCAAAATTATCAGCTTGACGTGAGTGACTTCCCAAACCGTTAATCTACTTCTCAAAGATTAAACTATTATAGAAATTACGTTAATTTCCATAGTTAGTATCTCTTTACCGTTAATACGTGTAGGTTGTATAGAATAGGTTATTAATAAATTTAATCCGACACGCAAATTCATCACCTAAAAGTTTTTCTAAAACAATCATTTATTAAGGCTATATACTAAGGATCCAACCAACAACTACAAAATTAAGTAAACAACGGAAGTCATCATAAATGACATAAAACCTAGGGATTGGCTAATAATAATAATAAATATTTTAGTCGCGCAAATTAAAAGGACAGTGGTATTTTTCCTCTCTGAGTAAATTCTATTGTTTTGATCGTTCATTACGTATCGAGACTACTGTTTTCACATTAATTGAATTTATTTCAGTATTCGATTAGAGTATCATTTCTGTTTCTAAAGTAGTTTGTCGTCGGTACTTTTAAGTACTTTGTTTTCTATTGTATCTGTTAGTGCTTTTCGTTCTACCAATCTACAGTTTTCCACTTTTTTTGGTTATAGATCATTTTTGTCTCTAAGTATTATTGCATTTAGTACTTTTTTGAAAAAAACCTGTTTAATAGCTGCACAGTGCAAAAAAAACAGTTGCCAACGTCCGGGCTGTCGTTATCCCATTGAAAGCGGCATGCAGCGCGATGAGTGCAAAGGCTGGTACCACGAAGTTTGCACGAATTTTCCGCCTGTGGCTTTCAAACGGTTCAGTAAAAATGGTTGCGTATGGCTTTGTCAACAGTGCTGTTCGGATGCAAACAACTTGCTAACCGAGACCATCTCATTGGTAAATGCTGCAAATAAGTGTGGTGACAAGCGTGGTCGGGACACATCGGACAGTAATCGCTCTGTCGACACGCTAATTGGTGTGAAGCCAACTCAGGTGAGTTCGAAAACAACTGACTCACACGGATTAAAGGAGGAAAAACAGTCTTCAAAGAGGTCTGTCTTAACTAAAAACTCAAGAAAAGAAGTTTCTTCTGTCCCCCGTCTTCTAAATGGTATCCAGCAAAAAACGCCTAGAAGCCACAATCGCAAGGCTCGATCGGTTTCTAGCGGGAAACATAACCTGACCTTCCAATTCGTCGACAACCCTCCGGGATCCCGCAGTATGTTTGACGCGACTGTGGTCGCTTCTCCAAGCAACGTTGACTAATGGGTACAGGTTGTAGGGAAGAAACAACATAACGATATAAAAGGGAATCCTGTCTCTATAAAAGTAGTCGAGAAATCGAAGGCTGATTAGTGACAGATCAGCTTTTTTCATAGAACTAAGGAGAGTGAAAGCTCTGAACCAAAAACTTGTTTTGAGCATGACATTGTGCTTATAAAACAGCTACTTAATCAACTTGCCTCAAAATATCTCCGGAGTCACATTGCTAAAGGTGTATAGACTAGGTAGTCTAGCGAACTTGAAGCCTAACCAATCCAGATTGCTTAAAGTAGTATTCAAATTTCCGAATGAACGCGACTTAATTTTACAGAATGGACATAAATTAAAGGGTTCAGGAGTTTTTATCCGCAAGGACTTGCAGCTGGCAGATCGTGTAAAAAGATGGGAAGCCGAGAAAGAACTACAACTTAGGTTAGACGCTGGCGAAAAGGACATAAGAATTGTAAATTTTCGGGTTGTAAGGCTTTGACAGAGAATGATGCCCAAGCCACTCTGGGTGAAGCACGAAGCCACTTAAATAGGCTTCGGATCTGCTACACTAATGCCCGGAGCTTACTTAATAAGCGATCGGAACTAGGTGTACAGACTGACTCTACAAAGCCAGACATAATCGCAGTTACAGAAACCTGGCTGACACAGGTTACAAATAGTATGGAACTTGATTTCGAGGGTTTTACGTTAGTAAGGGCCGACAGAATACAAAAGCATAAAGGAGGGGGAGTAGCTCTATTTATTAGGAATGCTATCTTATTTGCCATTATCGACAGTGTATCCCATGAGAGTGGGACGTCTGAATTAGTTAGTCTCAGCTTGAAATGCAAGGGACAAGAGCTGCTGATTGGTTTGTTCTATCGCAGTCCAAGCTGTGAGGTAAATGAAGTCCTGCTAAGCAGTCTCAATACTTGGTCACAAAGTGGTCGATGTCTAATCCTAGGGGATTTTAATGCACCTATGCTAGACTGGGAAAATCTGCGAACTGAATCGTCAGAAAATTCCTTCGAGCAGGAACTAGTTGATGCGGTTATCACATGTGCTCTAGTGCAACATGTGAAAGAAGCGACTAGGTACGACCCGAATACTGAATCATCCTTACTAGATCTAGACTGGAAGAACGCCATAGTAAGTCCTGTCTCCAAAACAGGTACGAAACATAAACCTGGGAATTACCGAGCCGTTATCCTAACTGGTGTGGTTTTTAAAATCTTAGAAAAGATTATTCGGAAGGAGCTGTTTAAGTATCTCGATAAAAGCCGGATCCTTTCGGAGAAGCAGCACGGTTTCAGAATAGGTTACTCTTGTCTCACTAACTTATTAGTGGTTCGTGAAAGCTGGTGCGCTCTTAAGGACCAAAAGTTACCTGTAGACGTAGCCTTCGTTCATTTCAGCAAAGCTTTTGACAAGGTTCCGCACAACCGGCTGTTACATAAGATAAGAAATGTCGGAATCGGAGGCAATCTATTGATGTGGATAAAATACTTCCTATTTGGGCGCCAACAAAGAGTTCAGGTGAACTCAAAGTTATCTAGCTGGGAAACTGTGCTTAGTGGAGTGCCCCAGGGTACAGTTTTGGGGCCAGTGCTATTCCTCTTGTATGTAAATGACCTTCCTCGTCTCCTATCATCATCACTCTTGCTGTATACTGACGATGTCAAGATATGGAGAACGATACGATATGAGGGTGATAGCTTAGAACTCCAAAATGACCTGCAGAAATTATCTGAATGGTCTCAAACCTGGCAGTTGCCGATAAATACTTCCAAGTGTGTTGTGATGCATATCGGTCATCAAGGCACAGATACATACATGATGAATAACACTGAGCTACCTGTTGTCCAAACACAATGACTTAGAAGTCATCGTTAGCCAAGATTTAAAGACTACTGCACAATGCAGCGCAATAGCTGCCAAAGGCTTTAGAACTTTATGGTCAATACGTAGGGCTTTTAGACATGTCGACGCTAAGACGTTTTCGACTTTATATACAGTGTTCGTACGTCCTAAACTTGAGTACTGCATACAAGCAGCTAGCCCCTGCTTAAAAAACGACAGTGAGCTTCTGGAAAAGGTTAAGAGAACAGCAAATAAGCTGATTCCCGGAATAGCGAAGCTTCCGTATGATGCTCGACTGGCCAAGCTAAACCTATTCCCGTTGTCATATCGTAGAACTAGAGGCGATTTGATTACAGTTTTTAAATTGCTTATTACCAAATTTGCACCTGATATGCCCTCATTTTTCTTGTCTTTCAAAACAGAGAATTTACGAGGACACTCCGAAAAAGTTCACAAGCCCAGAACAAATTACTTGTCAGCTGACTATCGACGTTCCCACCGAATCATCAACGAGCGGTATTCATTACCTCAGCACGTGGTTGAGGCTTCATCCGTCGATTCATTCAAAAGAAAGTTGGATCAACTGAGAGACCACCATTGCCAGGGCTAACGCAGGTCATCAAGCCTCCTGTCCTTTCGAAACTGAAACTGAGTTTCAATAAGCTTGATGTAATATTTAGATCTAAGACCAACCCTTGGGCGAATTGTGAGTATCTGTTACTTTTTGAAAACTACTTAATTAGGTGAAGCCAAAAGTAGCTTAAGTACGTTTTGAACCGCTATATAAGCCTCAGAAGAAACAAGGTAAAATGAAGTATTTTTACCGCAGGAAATATCAAAATCCTTTTGAGAACTTTTTTATTGGCAATCCAAATAATGATGAATACACCTATTTCATACATGTCGATTAGAGAATTATGGTTAATTGAAGAATCTGTTAATCTTTATATTACGAGATTTCACTATAAGATATACGAAGCGGCAAACTACAGATGTAAAATCCAGGTTATCATTGACACTTAAAGTGGTATAACTAAGTACATACCAGCTATGTATTTTAAAAATGGATCAATAGAGAAATTCGATATAGGGGAAACAGACATCGTTGTTACCTCAACAGTACGTTACAAGCAACTTAGAACTTAGCCCATATATGCATTGATTCGAGTTGACACGCCATATCAGTGCACGATGTAATTACCAAAACAAATTTTAGAGCACTAGAAACAGTACCAGTGGTGATAGAACATTACGGAATAAAATACACGATAATTTCAAAAAAACAGGTCACAGGAAAACAAAATGAGTGCGCATGCTAATTTTAGACTGATTCTGTCCAATGTCACTTATCGTCAATCATTAGTTATGATAATCGCACCAACACCAACCAGTTATTCCGCATCCATCTGCACGGTTCAGTTCAAAGGACCCCTCCCTAATTTCTTTTCGACCTATTACACCAGAAAATATATTTCGTCATCATGATGTACGTGCACGTACAAATTCGACATCTACTTTTCAAATGTCCGAGTCTTGCGAACAAAGACACTTAATAATTAATAAAAATCTATATGGTCGGTTTCCAGCCATATACAGTAGTTTGGACATATTTGTGGGGACTCGATAACTCTTATGTCTGCTAAGTTAGGGTTATTATCGAAGGCTAGGAGTAATTTTGAATACATATTAGGTGAAGATGAATAAAATAACAAGGCAAATAATTCCTTTAATAGGAACAAGCTTACTTGAAACTACAGAGTTGCCATATGAAGATTCTGGTGAAACTGCCGAAGAAGGAGCCCGAGATTTACTGAGGGGGGAAAAAAACGGAATAAGATTTTCGTCCTTTTCTAACTTTTTAGCTTGTTCCATTTCAGCCATCGTGAATGAATGAGCTACACAATAAGGAGGCGATTTACGCTCACACCGGTATTTATTCTCTGTTAGTTTGAGCACAACATCCGGGGCTTCATTTATTACTCCGATTTCATAGGTTAAATTGTGAGCCAAAGGTAAAGAATGATTTTCTGATCTTCGAGCTGTAGTTCTGATTTCCGAAGATAAATCGAAACCATGAGAACCTAAGCTGTCAAATTGATTATTTGATGTCGATGGTTCATGAGACTGTTCTTCACATTCATCTTGCCCAACAGTACAGCAATTTCGCTTTGCAGAAGAGTTTGAAACTAAACAGAATGATTCATAAGGACGTTTAACCGAATGTGAAGTCCGAAAATCATCTTCAAGTATTTGTTTATTTCCAAAATGTGACATGTTTGAAAAGACAAAAGACTTCGATGAATCTTCGCTTACAGACTCTCCATGCCTTTTAGAGTCAATATTTCTAGTCATACACGTATCACCGCAATCGTTATTCAGAATGCGGGAATTTTGGAGACACAACGGATATTGAGTACATAATTGTGACTGAACATCCGGTATAACTTGGGACCGAACAAACTGCCGAGATTTACTGTTAACGTTTGCATATTCTGTCACACAATTAGTAATACCCTCATCATCTACAGGGATTTTTCTATCTTTTTCATGTCTGCCCGACATCCGCAGTGTAGCTCACTATATTACAATAGCGCGGTGAACTAATCAAACACTGCTTCACAATTCTTGATTCTGAATAGAAAATAAGAGTTGCAATTTTAGGCATTTAGTAATATTTTGTTTACGAAACATTTGTTCATTTGCATATGGCGGTTTTGTTTGTAACTTTTGGCGCTCAGTATTTTCCGTGATGTTTGCCGCCACAACACCTGGCTCCATAATGACAGCCGAATCCTCCTCTCACCAACTGGTGGGGTACGTCACTAAGATGTACCCTACATTCGGATATATTAATAATGAAATTTTCTTCCAGAGAAAGTAAGTTTCTATTAACTTGCTTTTATTAAGACGTAAGGTGTGTAATTGGTCCTATGGTTGAGGTAGGAGATAATGTTGCTGCAAGCGCAGTTTATCAACCTCACATGCCTATAAAGTGGAGTGCAGAAAAAGTCTGGCGAGTTGAGGAACGTCGAGGCAAATCTAGAGATAAAGCAGAAGAAAGCAGCTACTGGAAGAGTCAGTCCCCGCGTAAACACTCTCCACGTGATAACTACACTAAACCAGCATCACGTGAACGAGATGTTCATCCATCCAGCGGCGATCAGCGACGAGTAGATAAGAAGCGTTCTCATGTTCTTAACAGGTATTGTGTTGTTGATTTTTATTTTCGTTGTTAGAGATGACCACTCAATCAAAAAATCTCCGAATCGTGATCGAAGAAGAACTCCTGTAGATTCTGTCTCAACGCGACACTCCTCTCCCACGACTGACTTGTATTGTAGGACTCCGATCAATCCCAAACGTATGCTGAATGTGAAAGAGTACTTGTTCTCAGACTTACAAAGACGCTTCCCTAATGTTCTCCCGCCAGTTGACTTGTATCGAGTTAGATGCAATTGGCAAGAATCATTCCCATTACTGCGACCTTTTCAGCCTCAATACCTTACAACTTTCCAGGTAGACTTTCCGACTTTTTTTACTGATAAGCTTAATTATCTACTGAAGAAGCAATTATTCCTAACTATTAATAGATAATTGCCACACCTTATAACCTAAAAACAATTTATGCTGTTAGATTGCGAATGCTTAGTAACATTACCAGCAATAGACTAGTTTTATGGCTTGTGGCCTTGAGGACTTACAGTAGTACTATCAGGTCACTGGTGTAAGAAAGTAGCATTTCTCGGTTAAGACTGGTATAACGCGAAACCGCTGTTACTTCAAGTAAATGTTTCATCATAATGATAACTACGAGATCTCACTTCTTCCTAGGACATGTCATCCCACTCAAGTTTATAGCATCATATCTGACTTGATGCCATACCAATTAGCTGGCTAACTCTACTTTTCTTTTTGGGTGGTAGTTTTGTGTTTTAGGCTTGTTAAGCTTATGAGTCTAAGCATAGTCATGTCATGCTTGTTCTCGCTAGTCGTCCCAGTCTTCAGTCATTCTCCGATAATATTTTCGATCTTAGTATGGAGGCTCTGCCTGACCCTTGTCTGCTCTAAAATAGTACTTCGTGAAGCTTCCTTCAAGTCAGATTCATCAACTTCTGTTCATCTGTCTAAAAGAACTGGGCGTCTATATTATAGTTCGTCTTGCCTTCTTGCGCCCACCAGTGTTGTTTATTTATTTGAACACAAAAACACTGATACAAAGGGACACCAAATATATGTGCGCCACAATAAAGTTATGGTTGTAACCGTGTCGAAAAAGTAAAGTATGATATGAAAGATCATTAAGTGGAAACTAGTGTATGAACGAAATAATGACAAGCAGTAAAACCAGGCAAATATATCACAAGGTCCCTGCGAAAGCGCACGCGGAACAAGCTTTTCAAAGCGACAAATGTAGTGAGTGTGTAATAATTCATTAGTCTTGAATGTGGACCTCAGATACACAACAGACAGGTCTAATTCCCGAGTCAGCGACGCAACGTTAAGAGATTCAGTTCCATGGTAGCCTGTGACCAACGATAGGCTCATACGCGATTTGTTCCCTTAGGAACCTCGAGCCCATATGCACCATTGGTTTAGAATTAGGGTTATCCAACTTCCCTAGATGGATCTTCCGTATCTGCCAACCCGTATATTCGCTTTTCATCCTATCAGTCTCGTAGATAACACCGCCGCAATAAGGCACTTGGTAGGACATCCGTGGCAATGACTTTATACGAGTAGCTGTATGAGCGTTTCGTGAGAGAGAGCTGACTCTCCACACTCTCTACTGTACCATAGCATTTGTGATGTAGACAAGTTACTAAACTTTTATATTTCGTTTTATCTTAGCCAGCATGTTAAAGTAGAAAACTTCTGTAGGGATTTATTTATTGACTAAGTATTTAATACTTTGTGCACGGTATTGTTAAATATGAAGTTAGGTGTAAATCCCAAATTGAATCTGGTCAATCGACTGGTTGCTACATGCCTTATAAATTTTATTTAGGTGCTTCGTTAACATACTTGATCTCGAAGTTAGTTCTCAACCCTAACTAGGCCATATGGCTATTATTGTGCTGATAATTCAAGATAATATAAATACAAATTTATTCGTTGGCAAAAGCCTTTTTTCATTTTTTTCATTATGTAGATAATTAAAGAACCTGAAGACGCTTGTGACGATGGGCATCATTCTTACAACAATGATAGTGGTTTTGCTGCGTATGTCTTACTTTTGTCACTCCCGGCAATGGCAGAACTAATGGAGAAGATAGTTGTCCGAGCAGAATCGCCTAGTCGTGTACGCGGCTCACTACGTAAGTACATCAAGATACTAGCTGCTGGAAAGGTTGATGAAAGACTCAAGGCTATTGGAGGTTCGTGGAGTCGTGATTTAGACGGGCCAGACCCAGCTTCAAATCCTCAAACTCTTGTCAACACGGCTATTCGTAATTGTAAACAACTTATTGGTCTCGATTTATCGTATTGCACACAGTGGTATGTTACTCAGTTTTAACTTGTGATCTATGTTTCTGGTCAGTCTTTCGCAGTTTATTCTTAAGCAGGTATATTGTAGTATCCAAATCTAGTCCCATTGCTCATAATCATTTTATTGTTAACGAAATATGTCACCTACCATCTTGACTACTGTTCTTCCGTATCTATAAACGGTTGTGTAGAGTAAATAAGCTGTTTCCACATTCACTAGTAAGTCAGTTCAAATGCTTTATTCTTCTGGATTGTGCGTTGATCTTCGTACAAAAACTCAGAGAAATCTCCATTGAAATAAATAAATTTATATCTGTTAAGTACTTATTTCTCTAAGTCTGCCCTACAATAAAACAATGTCAGGTCATAAGTGCTCACTATAGCGTCTTTGATTTTAAATCGATCCTAATGTTTTCACAACCTCATTGCATAGCTTGATAATTTATCTGTCTAATTTTTAACTTTCCTTATATTGTTTATATACAAATATCAAACAATATGGGTCTTACGCGTTCCTTTGATCGACGTCGCGTTTACTGTTGTTATCATCCTGTCCACTTTCCCCAGGCACCGTTTCCTGGAGTTCCGCTATAGTCGTACTGAAGGTTCAACTGCCCAACCAACCTCAGTCCTATTTCCTGGCTCTCAACTTTGGGGTCGACCCGTCACAGAATCTCCTGAATCTGATATGATTCCTCCAAGCAAACCATTTCATCAAATTGTCGTATATTTTATTCCAAATGTTTGGTCACTCATGCCTACAGACGAAGAATGGTCGACTGTAAAGCTGGCTTATGAAAATATCTTGGCTTCAAAAGAACCTAACGTATTTCCAATGACTCCTTCCAACATGAAGAAGTTTTCTGGTTTAGAATCTGCTTTTAAGGGAACTGGTGACGGGAAATTAAATGTGGCGATTGAACTGGATTCAAATTCACTGAAGTCACCTACTCAAGACAATGCATATGAAGATTCCAATGTGTCTAAAATGGATGAAGGCAACAAGTCAACCCTTCAAGCGCCTGTTGAATTCCATCGCTCTACCCCGTATTTGGCTGGTCAGGAAACTGTTCCAAAAATAGCAATTATCTCCGAGACAGAGGATGGGTCCGAATCTGTGGATTTAGCAGCTCAAGGAAATCCAAATCAGGAGGTTGCTACCTAACTTACTGTTGTCATATTATGTTCCTACAGTATATCTAGCATTTAGTCATTTATTTGCATATGAAGTCTGTAATTTATTTACGATCATGATAATGCAAACAACTTTCAAGGTATCATAGTAACTGTTATGTTTATCTGTTTTTTCCGTCAGGGAACTGATAAATGCCAGAAAAAGCTTCATACTGAACTTAACTTAGCTAGCATGAAGGTAAGCACATTTACATCTCTCATTCCATTTCTTATTGTCACTATAATATTTTGGAGCAGTACATGCAGTGGTTTCAAGCCAGTACAATCATAGGCACAAGCACGTTCTTTTTTTAAAAAAAATTTTATACTCTTGTGCAATACTTTCGTTCACATTCTTTCTATCAATTCGCATAAACTTTATCGTACCGCTCAAAATAATGGGGAATTTTCAAGCTTGAAATTTCGACGTTACGTTTCGAGTTTCTGACAATGTCTAAATCTAGATTTTGCAATTGCTGATGAATGCAACCTTTCTCTTAAATACATATTTCACTGGGACAGTTAGTAAAATGTTTACAACTATGATTATTGACTTCTTGCTATTAATCACTATGCACCAACAATGCTAATTATTTAACTCCATGAGATGTTACACCTGGTCTCTTAAAACCGCTCTATAATTTACATGATAGCCATGTTCGAATATTTTGTCAACAGACTTCCTTAGCTCGGACTGTAGAGTTCTGTTCCATTGATGCTCGCAGATTTATCAGGCAGCGAACGCAGCTTAAGCGTAGACTGGGAAAAAGCCTACACAATGGTCATAAGCATTGGTGTACCGATAAATCGGAATTTTAAAAAATGGCAGTGACAATACGCGATGAAAAGCAACTTTACAAATTTTTCAAAGAAACATATGAAGAATTCGCCAATCAGTGAGACTTTTTGAAAAACACGGAACAATGATCCACTCTCAACCCAGGAGGCTAGAACGGTGGGCTAGACACTTTGAAGAGCAGTTTAACTACTCTGCATCTGCCCTTCGGTCACCCACTTTTACCAAGCAACGCAGAATATCAGCACAGGCCATTCAGCTCTTAAAGAGGTAAAAAAAGCTATACCTAATCTAAACCGAGACAAAGGAGTATTCCCTAATGTAATAACCCGGAGATCTGTAAGGGTGATGTTCCAATTATGGTCATTAGATTGACTGGGATCTTGGCTAGAGTCGGGGAAGTAGATTGAATTCCACCTGACTAGTCTCAATCGCTGATCGTTCCAGTCTATAAGAAAGAACAAAGATCCTCTTGTTGTAACCACAAAGGAATCAGATTAATTAATAGTGTCTAAAATATAAACCTCATTAATCATATGACGGTTATCTAAGGTTTATGGGGAGTAAACTCGAGGAAAGCAAAATGGTTTCAGACTTAGACGTGGTTGTGTAAACCAAACATTCGCTCTTCGCCAGACTAGGGAACACAAATATACCAACTAACTCTGAAGCATGGTTGTATCTCCCGACCATAAGGCGGCCACGTTCAACTCCGTAGATCGGCGAGTTTTTGAGTGTCTTTCATTGAAAGGCGTACCAAGAAAGTACATAGACCTTGTGAAGGCTTTCTATTCAAACACAGTTGATCGAGTCAAAGTCCACTATCTCCATTTTTATTTGGTTTTATCACTGATATCCTTCTGGAAATAATGTTTTCTCCAATTGACTTTCCGGGGGTCTATCTGCTGCCAGGATGTTCCGCTAATGACTTGAAATACGCAAATGGCATAGTTCTGTTTGATGAAGAAGCTGACAAAATCCAGTTTTATAATTGACTTGGAAAACAACGTTAGGATGTAAGAGATGCGTTTCCCTCACTGCATCATTGGATGGCATACTCAGTTTTATGCTAAAGCCTTCAAAATTGAACATCCATAAGTCCAGTGGTCTCTGCTTTTAATCTGATATACTAAAGACGCCACTCTTAGTTATTGACAACAATGTTTTTTTTTACGTAATAAGCTTATTTAGTTTTTTAAACATGGCTGGTTACCATGATTGTCTCGTCATCGGGTTTCGCTTAAAATGTATTTTAATTTTTAGAGGCTCTGTACTCAACAACCTCGAGCAAAGTGAAAATATATAACCGCCTCTTTTTCCAACCTAATAAAAACGTCCAGTCTCACCATTCTTCAACCGTATTATCAATAACATTCTGAATACAGTTTTGGAAATACGTAGTAAAGGCGTTCATTTGTTACTTCAGGATTTCGAGTACCAGTTCCATTATGGTACAGTGCAATAATACACCATGTATCCAAAGTTCTCATTCAGCTAACAGTTGGTGTTCGTAATTACTGAATGTACTTTGCACTTTCAGAACGCAAAATAATTCTTATGTCAAAAACCTATGTCTGCACTCGCATTCCATTAGAAACATTCGAGCATTCGGGTAATTAAGTGTTAAGTTGATAATAAGATCAATATACTTATACTGAAAAGTAGGACGGAGTATCCCGATCTAGGTCACTTGTAGTCGCTCTAAAATGATAGCGTTTACGAGTTCATTTTTTATCCTTTTAAAGCCTGGCATTTCTTAGCTGAGGACATTCAGTCACTTTCTGTTCTCGGTCATCGTCGTCCATAGTGGTTTGTTTGCGTCAGTTAGTAACTTTATTAGTAATAAACGAGGTTCGGCAATGTGTGTTCAGACCACTTGGGATTATTCTCGAAACACTGACTGTACTGCCTCGGTTATATTGTGCAGATGTCATTCCATGGACTTCCTGGGCGATTGTACTGAGTGGAAAAAGCGAACGCGACCGGTATAATAGTGTGTATCTGTTGGTCCAGAACTATTACTCGGGCCTTGCAGTTTGCGTAACTGTAGCACAGAATAAAAGTCAGTACATATCCACTTGTCATTTTCGCTTAAATTCTTCATAAAAGCTAAATAAACTTAACTAAATGCAGTCTCTATCGACTTTTAAATAAACTGTATCATCATATACTTTCGTTTTCCTATAGTATTATTACTTTATTGGCATGGTGCATTTTTTGTTTTCTATTTTACTACTTGAATTAAGATACTCGAAAAATAAATGTTGATATTTAATTACTTTTGTAGGTTTCCGAACTGCGTGAACAGTTAAAAGCTCGTAATTTGCCTACTGAGGGAGTAAGAGCTCAGTTGTTGACTCGTCTCAAAACGGCAATCCAAGAAGAAGAAGAAAAGGAGTCGGCTAAGAAGGCTGAAAAAGAAAGTAAATCCTTTCACAAATAGATGCTTGTGTATTCATCTAATTGTATTCTCTAATCCCTTAAGTTTATACATTTTCCTGATCTACACTTTCAGAAATGGAGCAGGAAAAAACATTACAGTCTGTAACTATTGATAAGACACCCCAAGTTTCAGAAGAACAAATAAAACCTTCAAATACGGAGTCTGGATCTAAACCATGGACGGATGCACCTAAGTTGACTCTCCGTGATCTCCCTTCAATAATAATCTTACGCAAGAAAACTGTCGACTTTACCGTACAGTCAGTTGGGCTTGATGTAAGTAGATATTTTATAGCTTCCTCTGTATTTCTTATCAGGCCATCAAATCGACCTTAGTTTTTTCGTTTCTTTCATGCGAATTAATATAAACTGCTCGTCAACAATAGGTGTTTGCATAAACTTTAATGATTTTGTGTCTATAAAACTTGCCACAAAACTAAAAGAGGAGGCATCAATAGTTTGGGTAATATACCATCTTACTCGTAGTAAACTTTAGCATTACGTCACTCAAGCTTCTTCATTTTAAATAATGAATCAACCCATAGCTTCTGTTCGGTCAATCAGTCATGTTCAATTTAGAGCCTGGCACATGTGTATGCATCAATTCAAGTTGTCACATTTGAATTTTAATCGGTTGTCAACTGAATAATTTACATTATACAATAGTCGAAGGTAGAACAGAGCGTTCTGAGGCTTCAAGTCGGCTGCCGAATAACGAAAGTTATGGTAAATCTCGTATCATTTCTAAATAGTACTGCGTCCATTTAAGAAATTTCGTCAGTATTAACTCCTGATATAACTTGGATCAATATTATATGTTTCTCTTTATTTGTTTCATTTTGCATTCACTTCTCACATTGTTGTACTTGAAGGTTGTTATGGATTCAAAATCTGATTTTATGGACTGTAGATCATATGAATTCATGTTTTGCATCCACACAATCTTTGACATGCTTCGCAGAGATTCCGTATTCACTTTATTTCGTGCCCTTGTTACGGCTGCAGATAGAGGAATTTGCGCAAAACCTAGGAAACGCAGGTATTTTTAAATCTTTATTATTTAGTTACTGTTTTATGTTGTGTTACCTCTTGTTCCAAAACTTGTTCATTCATTAATGTCTCCACTGTTTTAACTATTGTATTATACTCTGTGGGGGACTTTCAACAATTCTTTTTCTTAGTGAACCAGATTATGTAGCTAAACGTGCTCGCTTAGAGCGTAATGAAAGGACATCTCTGGCAAAAGACGAGGAATTTAAGGAAACTCCATTGTACACGACCGATCTACCATTGCTTTTTGCATGCACAGTACTGGATACAAGCTATAAGAGTTATTTCCTCTCGTCAGAGGTCGAGGACTTCATTCTTTCACTAGGCTTGCCTATCTCTCGATATCAGGTGAGCGGTCGTTTTTAGTTTTCACTTAACGGAATGATTGTTAAATTTTCTTGTACATGTCCAAAATTTATTTGGATATTATTACTCCTTGCCTTTTCCGTGGCCTATAAATATCTGATTACGCTTTGGTTACTTTATTTCATTTCATTTAAACATATGAACATTGGTATTAAGAGACATCAAAGTATATATGCGATACGTAATAAGAAAATAAGGACTCCGATCAATCCCAAACGTATGCTGAATGTGAAAGAGTACTTGTTCTCAGACTTACAAAGACGCTTCCCTAATGTTCTCCCGCCAGTTGACTTGTATCGAGTTAGATGCAATTGGCAAGAATCATTCCCATTACTGCGACCTTTTCAGCCTCAATACCTTACAACTTTCCAGGTAGACTTTCCGACTTTTTTTACTGATAAGCTTAATTATCTACTGAAGAAGCAATTATTCCTAACTATTAATAGATAATTGCCACACCTTATAACCTAAAAACAATTTATGCTGTTAGATTGCGAATGCTTAGTAACATTACCAGCAATAGACTAGTTTTAT